ATAAATATCTTAGACATTTTGACAATAAATCTAAAGCCTTATATTGATAATATTACGGGAGAGGCAATCTACTATAAATGTTAAAGTACTGAATTTGATTGGCGTTCACGCACATTCTGAGAGCTATGTTTTTAAGAATTTACTACACATCTGAATATGGTAGAATTCCCGAGGTGCATTTCACACATCTGGGAATTCTAAGCCCACAGAAATAGGCTGTGGAATGCACCAAAACCTTTGACATACGTTCAATGAAAAATATACTAATTTAAAGCAATACGTTATAATGAACTTTTAACGTGACGACTGAAATAAATAATCTAAACGTAAGATTCAATATTTCTATACTTAGACCTGGATTAAAAATTGTCCTTACCACAAATACTGAGTGATGCACAACAGATTGAAGGACGTTACCATATGCTTTAATAATGAAATGGTCTACATACTTATCAGGATTGGAATAGTTAAACTTCCTTTTATTCTTTAAGAATCTTCCATTGTCAGATAATTGTGGCCAGGTCTAGATTTAGCACTAAAGATGGCCAAAAATTATTTTTGACGGGTCTTTAATGAAATGAATGAATATATATTTGTTTTCAACAAACGTACAGAGAATAATTTCCTGAAAACATACCTTCAAAGTTAAATATGTAAAAATCCACCCTTTTACTGAACACTCTTTCTGTTCGGTATTGAAGTCTGAGCTGAACAGTGTTTTTTATGGAATGCTATCGTAATCACTAGAGAGAATAAATAATTAGGAGGGTTACAGGATTAAAAAATTGGAAGAGAATTTTTATAGTTTGAATGCACTTTTCATTCTTTCTTTCCCACCCCCCGCCCACCGCGCCGATTGTCTGGAGGTCGCATAAGCGATCAGACAGACGATGACGACACCCTCGACGCCATATTCAAGTAATAACTTCACTGATTCACTTGAGCATTGTCTTTCAGGTTTGAGGGTATTTTTTCACTAGATTAAGATATACGCTATAATAGGTATTTCCCGAAACCAATTTTCACTTGCTTGTGTATTACGGGAATGATAAGAATGTCTGTGCATGCCAACCTCACACAAAAATAAACCATGTATTAGAAAGACTTGAGTTGGAGCTTAAATCATTTCCGGACTCTTGCCTATCAGTCGTGTATGAGATTAAGAGGGAGCCAAGGCATACGGTAGATTCGAGATTCGAGAGAAAATGCGGATGAGGGATAGAATTATGCGTAGCCAATATAATCTCTCCATTATAG